GTCATACCCCTTGCTCATTCATGAGTGTATGTAATGGACACTGTCATGTACCACTCGGATTCCCTTCCAGGGCTGACGGGCTCATTCTCCCAGATGCTGGGAGTGCTGTCCTGATTGAAGGTGGCCCTCAAGCTACCAGCTCGCTTCAGGAATTGCTCAGCACAAGGGAAGTCACCTCACTAGCAGTCATCCCCCTTCTTTCATAGCTCTCTTCTACTGACTGGCTGGGTCATATGAAGACACAGCTCTCTCGTTTTAACTCGGGACAGCCCTGTAGGGTCTTCTATTTTCACAGCTTCTCGTGTGTGGCTGAGCATCCCCTGGAACTGCATCATGGCCCAGCTTCTTCCTCCATTTATCCTGTCTCCTTTCATTGACTCCTAGAAGTTGTCAAACCCAAAAGTACTCACTAGTCAACTTACTGCAAGCAAATCTCCATCTCAGAGTCTGTAACCCAGGGCTCCCCCGCTATAACACTAGGTCTAAAATATGGATGTTTGATCATGTTAGTACCATGTTGCTCTTTCAAAAAGCTATAAAATTTGCATTCCCATCAATAATGTAGGAAAGAGCCTTTTTTCACTCTTTGTTGCCACTAGATATTTTCAAAATTTAAAAAAAATGCCATTTTTTAAGTGACAGATGGTGTCTCATTCTTGCTTTACTGTTTTTTTTTTTAATTAGGAGAGTGAGAATATTTTCACATATTTGTATTTCTTTCCTTTTCATTTCTTGTGTTCTTTGCTCATTTTTCTATTGTATGGCCATCTTTTGAATATTAGTTTTAAAGTACTCTTGGCATAGTAAGAAAATTGCAAAATTTCCAGTTTTCTGTTTGTTTTGGCTTTGGTAAGACTTTACTTTATTATTTTTTGCCATTCGAAAAGTTTACTTTAAGTTGCATCTATTTCTTCCATGAGCAAGACAGATAGAAACAGAGAGACAGTACTTCCAGTAGGGTCTTGACCCCTGATCTATTCCCAGCCTCAGCCAGTCCCAGATTATGGGCACCCACTTCCTGGTCTACTCAGGAAGATCTCTGGACGTGAACCTGGAACCTTCCCATGTGTGTCCACATCACAGAGTGTTGCATTTTACTTTTGTACCACTGTCCAAATTTTACATTTTAAAATTTGCTAATATTAACATTTTTATACTTTTTAGTTTACTTATTTCTTCTACAAGCAAGAGATAGGGGGAGAGAGAAACAGGAGGTGGGAAGGGGAGGTATTTCCAACAGGATCTTGATGCCATAATCCACCCCCAGCCACCACTGGTTACGGGCATGTACTTGCTCAGTGTGCAAGGAAGCTCTCTAGAAATTAACTTAGAACCTTCTTCCTCTGTGGGTCAGCCTTGCCTAGCATCACATTTTACCACTGCATTGCTGTATGGCTTTGGTCTAAGATTTTAAAAAGTCACTATTTTCTTTAAAACTCAGCTCCTTAGCTCATAAGCTGTTACTATCACATAGCTGTCTCTGAGTATTGCAACCAGAGTTAACTCTCCCTTAGTATCAATCATGTTACTCATAATATTCTGTCTTTTATAGCCATTTTTATTATTTTTCCAAACTCCTCTTGTAAGATACTAGGAAAGGAACTATTGAGTTGTCAGAAAAGTCATGATTTTTTTTTCTATGCAAAATGGCTAGAAAATGTTTTAAATATCTATGTATACCCGCCGGTATCTAGAATAGACCTTACATAAAGTGCTACTTAAATATTCGAGTCGAATAATGGATACTGTTTGATTATGAGGTTCTTTTTCCACACTAAGGGTACCATCCCACACATCCTAATGAGATTAAATTTTTGTAAACTTTTGTAACTATTTTTTGCTAGACAAACTCTTTGCTCTGTCATTTCTAGACCTGAACCACACACATTAAGGGCTGACTGCTTGTGAGCACATGGTGAGGTCTCAGGGCTTACAAGTGTCAGGTGACCAGAACACTGCTAGGGAGACAGGCAGGTCAGGTCAGATAGCTCCTAGAAACTGTATAAATGCGTAGCCTTCTCACAAAGTGCTCATTCTCCCTATAGTGTACAGAACTGGATCTCCCAGCACCATGGTGGTCACACTGCCCCTGCTGGTAGCATAGATTACTCCTTGGCTAGGTTTACCTGGTAAAGTTCCTAAGGGTGTTGAAAACCAGATTGCAGGGGGTGGGGGGTATCAGTCCCTAAATCCGCTCAGTGCAATTCCTGTGCCCAAAGTCCTAGTCTTGGATCCAATGGCTCTAACGTCTTTCTTTTCTCTCTCTGAAGCCCATTCATAAACAATATTTCACCAAAAACGCTCTCGCCAAGATCACCAGTGGACTACCAGATTATAGAATGCCATGATTGATTCCCAAGTTTTCTCCTCACTTGACCTGCTGGCAGCACTGGCCTGGTTGGTCCTTCTCTGCTTCCTGAGGGCTTTACGTGGCTCACCAGGACTCTGCTTCCTGCTCTGAACACTGGAGTACCCCAGGGTGTCCTCGTTGGACCTCTTTTCTTTTCTATGTTCATTCTCTTGATTCCAAGAAAGTCTTATGATTTTCACTATTGTCTCTGCTGACAGATTCCAAATTTCATTTCTTCTAGCCAGAGTTAGATATAACTGCCTCCTCAGCATCTCACTTGATTGTCTGATAAACATCTCAAACTTCACATTCAAAACTGAGCTCCTGATTTCCACCCCAATCTCTTTTTCTTACTGTCTCTCCATCTTAATAAACGACAACCTCATCCAACTAGTTACTCAAAACTCTGGTGTCTTCCTTCACTCTTCCCCTTTTCTCACACCCACTTCCAATTTGTCACCAAATCCACTTACTACATCTTCAGCATACATTCAGAATCTATCCACTTCTCACTGCCACTTTACCATCACTCTGGGCAAGTTACTTAACTCTTCTGTTTCTTTCCTTCTTATATAACCCGGGGAAAAAAATGGACTATGGCTTTGAAGGTTAATGTGTGGAATAAAGGGAATAATACATGTTAAAACTTGGTATATTGCTGAACAGTCAGTGCTCTGTAAACGTCAGCTTTCTTTCTTAAATTTGCCAGAGGGTACGTATGCGCGCGCGAGAGAGAGAGAGAGAGAGAGAGAGAGAGCGAGCGCGAGCCCTCACAATGGAGTGTGATCACATTGCAATCTCTTCTCCAGTTCTCTATCCTGTTCAGATTTTTTAATTTTTTAAAAGTTTTTGCCATAGGGTGTGTGACAGAGAGGGAAAGTGAGAAATCACTCCCTGGCAGGGGCAGGGGATGGAGGGAGATGGTCATGCCACAATTCTTTCTCTTCCAGTCTTCTCTTGGGATTTTGGGCACGCATGCACACACACACACACGCCTGGTGTGGTTTTTCAAGCCGAGTTCAGGACTCAAACCAAGGTCAGCCATGTTGGAGTCCAGTGTCTTAACCACTATGCCCTCTATGACACCAACTGGCCCCTCCTGTTGGGATTTTGGGCACACACACGTGCCTGGCATGTTCTTCAAGCCCTTGAGAACAGGGCTTGACCTGCAGTTAGCCATATGGGATCCAGTTCCCTCAACCAGTAGGCCATAGGCCAGCTTAATAAGTGTTAGCTTTCATTATTATTCCTGATCTTTGTTTTTTTAGATGGTTTCAAGGAAATTTGACCAGCACAATTGAAGCCATCAGCTCCTTTTCATAAAAGCTGAATTTTATTCCTTAACACATGAGATTTTAATTTTTAATATTTCAACTAAGTAAAATGTGTTACTGTGCTGAAGGATTAGCTTCTGAAAAAGTAAAACTTAACCTCACTCAGAAAATCAGTCACAAATCGAAGCAAAAAATTAAAAAAAAAATACAATGGTAATTTGAGTCATTGGAAATTTTTTCTAGCCTGACTAGGAATAATTTTCAACTAATGGAAAAATTTTGGACTAGAAACTATTTTTAATCCAAGGTTATATGAGCTTGTTACATATATTGCACAGCTGTATATAGAACTAGCTTTATAACTTAAAATAACTTTGGGGATATGAGAAAACCCAGGCAATTTCTACAGCTGGGAAAACAGCCATCTCTTGTATAAAACAACCCTATATAAGGGATTTTCAAAAAGTTCAAGAAAACATGTTATAAAAAACTATGCATGTATTTCAAAACTTTGTGTACTAAAATAAACTCTTACTTTAATTAAACCTTCTGAAATCTGTTCATATTATTAATCCATAGTCTCCCTATACCTATTATCCCATCTAATTAGTAATAGGTAGAAAGATTCTGGGAAATCCTCAACAGTATTATCTGAGGTGTTAGCAACAGGCTTAAATTATATAGGAGCATCTCAAGAAAGTACCCAAACACATGAATTAGACACGGGGATATCGTAAGTTAAGGAGAACCATTGTGCTAAATCACCACAAAAATAATTTCAGAACATTTAGTTTATACTTAAATGCAATCACTTTACTAATATATGTGGTAAGAAATAGAATTTGAATAAGTGAGGAAATTCATCAGAACAGAAAAAAAAACGTTAAAAAAATACGATGGTAATTTGAGTTGTTCTTAATATTTTTTAGAAAATCATGTTTATTTTACATTTATATTTACTCTTTTAGTAATTTTCTTTCTCTACACACACAGACCCATCTATCATAAGCTAGGTAATGAGAAAATAATGACAAATTATCTTTATTATTAACTTCTTTGCAAAAATATTTTGATCCTTTTGATTTTTATAAGAGCTAGGTAATAATGTCCCTTGAATGTTTTAAGAGAGGGTGGAAATCCTAATATGTAATCATTAGGAATTGACTTTGCTTAATGTATTTTGGCTTTCTTCGTAAATACTTAAATATATGGCAATATACCAGGCTATCCTTGAAAAGACATATACAAACAAGTTTTTATATCTCCATATATGCAGAAGTTACCTAATTAAACTATCATTAATACCTATCATGAAGTCATTTAGCTGATACACATATGCTTCGTGTGCTAACTGTCACATATTTATTTTTTTGCAGGAAGTCCTGGCTGAGCAAGGTTGGGAGTCCCAGTTCTCGCATTGACCGAACGGATTTTTCTAATGAGAAAACTATCTCTAAACTTGAATACTCCAACTTTAGTATTCGATACTAATAGAAATAAAAATTGTAATACTTATACTGCAACAAGAGACACCATATATTCTTAGTTCTATCTACTAGAATAGTAGCAGTGGAGTAGGGTGCAAAGAACTTTCTGTACTGAAGGCTGAAAAATTGTTTGTTACTAAATTGTCTGACACTGAAATAATTTTATTCAACTATATGTTTAATAAGCAAAAACATAGTATTGTAAGATTAAAATGTCATTATAAAATATTTAGTAGGAATATTCCATTTAAACTTGTCTAATGAATCTTTAATTTCAATAAATGTTATAGCATACATATTATTTAGACATAAAATAAAGGTAACCATTTCAAACTATTTTGAAGTACTGTTGTCTTCAAAATTATATCATAGAATTATAAAATCTTCTAAATAATATTGATTAATTTGCTATTTGAATGTTTTGAAAGAATGAGAGGGGTGCCAGCAGGTGGCGCAGTGGTTGAGGCACTGGATTCGCACATGGCTGACCACGTTTTGAGTCCTGGACCTGGCAGCTGTCTGGCTGTCTGGCTCGTTCTCTCTCTTTCATGTGCCCTGTGGTAAACTGAGAAATGATGATGATGAGTAAAAAATTAATTTTTTTCAAAAAAGAACCTGAGGTTACAAATAAATGTGATGATATTACCATAAAGTAACATCATCAATAAAGAGTTCATTTTTAAAATTCCAGTTAAATGTAGACATGATTAATACTTAATGCCTTCCATATAGTGAACGTTCAGGCTGAATGATGGCAGCTAAGAAGTCAGTTTGCATATGGCTGGGAATGAGACGGTTATCAACAGCCATCCACAGTAGATGTTCTAGTAACCAGAAAACGAACTGAGAGTCAATGTAACTAAGAGTCATACAATACTATCCCCTAAGCTTGGACTATCACTTGAAGATCTTCTCATGTAAATAATAATTAAGCAACAGTATTTTAAAGGGAAAGTTCACTTCTGTAATGTAGAATTATAATGTTGAAAAAGAAAGACCTTTAAGACAGTTATCAGGGACTTTCAGATGTTGTAGGTATATACTTACATTTATGCTTTCCAAATTTTTATAGCAATCTAGCTCTTCCTCTGAACAAAATTTTATGTGGAATTGGATACAAACAGATTTTTAAAGAAAAGCACAACTGGCATAATTGAAATGGGGGTAGGAGATGTAGACACTTAAACACTTGATCTCTTTTCCCTCATTCTTCAATTCCCAATCCCTCGGGAGTACAGGTTGGAAACTACCACTCTGTCTATAGAACAAACTTCCCATTGCTGTACTTCATGGTTTGAAGAAAGAATTCAGACCTCTCCCTCTTGTACCTGCTGTAAGAATTGAGAGGAGATGGAAGAAGCGCCAACTCTGTTCATGAAATGTTATCTCCAGGGAGTGGTATTGATATCCCATATAAGACAATATAACACTAGGGAATGACTTCCCGAATACACTTAAAGAACTTTCCCATATACTGAACATGCGTACCCTATGGAAGAAGATGAAAGATCAGGAGATGTAAAGGCATGGAGAACAATCATGGATGCTAGGAACAGTGTGGGAGGAGGGTGGGAAATGGGGGAGGGTAAAAGGAAGAGAATCAAGGAGAAACAAGCAAATCGTTTAAGGGACACCAAGTGGAAAATGATCTGTGGATGATAACATGTATGATATTATCTTTAACTGGACTAGTGCATAGTGTGTTCATATTGGGGAAATTTTTACAAGCTGTAATGATATACAGTAATTGAATGTATAAATTTTAAAAAAATAAAGTTATTTGGCCCAGAAAAAGAGGGAAAAAATCTTTCCTATTATTTAAAACTATCATCATGTTAAGTACAGTATGCGTCAAATATTATGGAGGAGACTCTATTGAGATACTCATATGGGTTTTGCTCTCCTGTTTCAAGGAGGGTAGATGAGTCTTTGCATTCTCTTATTTCAGGGAGGGTATGGGAGCCAGATCCCCTTGAAGACAAATTTTCTTCCATGATTTCATTTTGAAGAGGGCAATATGCTACTGGTCAAAGGGAAAGACAAACAGGTTAAAAGGAAGCAGAAATGGGCAGAGCCAAGGGTCAAGGAGATGATGGAGACCTTGGAAAGGACCCAAAGGCTTTCCCAAGTCATGGAGACCTGAACCATTCTTCCCAGCTGCACCCCTAGGGACTCCTTAGCCCAAGAGGCAGGCAGCTGTGGTACCCCGAGAAGCTGGATCACAGGCCCACAGGCTCCCAGCCCTAGCGAGCTTCCTGTCCCCAAAAATATTGCAAAGCATCTTACAAGAACCATGGGGTGGCTCATCAGTATGCACTGGAGACCAGAGGAAACTTTCCTGAATGTTCTGTGTGTAATTTGCATGATTCTTCTGGGAGATAGATAGTGCAAAGCATCAGGGATTACTAAGACTTCCACCTCCCAGACAGGATGGGGCTAGAAGCAGGCTTAATTTGAATTTAAAGAAAATAACATTTTTTTTTATACTCAAATTTGAAAAAAAAAAATCTTTATCTCCTAAACATAGAAAGGATAATTTTTTAAAAAATCCTATCTTAGATGTGACACCAGTATGTCACTTTTATTATCCTGCCACCCTTTGCTTGTTTCCTTCCCAGCTCTCTTTATAAGGGGGGAAAAAAATCACTGTGCTGGAACAATCTAACTGCATGAAGTGAATCACACTGGCCAACATGGCTTACTAACTACTATACTGAATTCTATTTCTGAATGAGAAATGTTGATAATGATTGAAGAAATAGGTTTCACAGATGGGTAGAAAGCAAGAGTAATAAGGATAAGGCAAGATGAAAATGTGTTCTGGAGACCAGATAGCACACCTTAACAGTAAACTTGATATGTTAAATTTCATGTTGAACTTACACAGGGACGTTTTAATTAAATATCATATTTGAACAAAGTCTTGTTTTTTGTTTGCCTGTTTCTTGGGCTTTTGCCCCAGCCTCCCAGCTTAGACGACATGCATGCATCACCATCCCCAACTCTTTTTTTTTTCAGTCTCACTATTCCAGCCTCGAGACAGTCCTCCACCTGGCTGCCCTTTAGGTGGGACGAAATAGGACCCAGGCCTCCATGTGGTCCCAGCCTGTGCAGCACAGGGTGTTAGCAGTATGTGCCACCATTGCTGGGCTTAGAATTTAGGCTACCAACCTTGATAGGATTATTTGTGTCATATTTAGACATTTCAAAAGCCAAGGAAAAAAATCAAAAGATAGATGCCTACTTCAGTGACTGTCAACTACAAGTCTCAACATGTCTCATGCTTACCACAACTCAAAAAGCCACATATCAGAATTGGGGGTAGGGAGTAAAATGATAAATGCATATTACTTTTTTATACTTACATTAAAAAATTCTGTCTTACAATAAAGCTAACTCAGGAAGAAAAGCCAATAGAATCTTCTTGGGTGGATGGAACAGACACAAAGCACTCTGACCCAGTGGGGCACAGAGAAGCAACAGACTTCTGTGCAGTGAGGTTAGATTTTTATGAGGCAGGTATAGGTTTTATTTTTCTTTTGTTTATTTTTTGAGAGGTTTTTGCTATAGGGCATATACGCTCGCCAGAAAGACAGCAAGAAATCACCACCCCCCCACCGCCGCCCCAAGGGGAATGGCCACACTGCAATTCCTTATCCTCCAGTCTCCTCTCGGGATCTTGGGCACGCATGCACACACACCCGGCATGAGTTTAAGCTGCCAGGTTCAGGACTCAAACCACAGTTGACTACATGGGAGTCCAGTGACATAGCCATTATGCCAACTGCTGGTCCCCGAGGCAGGTATGGGTTCTTAAGGTTGAGGAGAAGCGGGAGGCTCTAAGCACAGGGGAGTGCTCTGTGCCCTGGGGGGGCCCTTGTGTTAGCAAAGGGCATAAAAGCACCAAAGGTGGCACGAACAGGTGGTGGGTGGAGACAGACACCAATACCCAGTAGTTTCACTTTGCTAGATGTCAGTTACCATTTTTATGACTAGATAATTTCAATTTTGCCTATCGAAGGTATTTTTCAGAAGCACTTATCTCTAGACTCATAATTAGGGACAACAGAAAAACAGAAATTGTTTCCAAGAATGAGCTTGTATTTGAAAGTATATACGCCACATATGTATTTTATACAGTAACTCTCCCTGGTCTCTGCCCATGTACAAAGAATGTTCTGTTTGGTTAAAAGGAAGAATGTTCATGTTGGGAAATAATTCCAGGAACTGAAGACAGGCAGCACGATATGGTAGGGGAAGACCCACTCTGGGAAGCAGACAATGCGTGCTTTGGGCCCAGCCCCTCCCCCAGTTAGCTGGGCGCCTTGGGATGCTCTACTGCAAGGCAAGAAGTTACCATAAATCATGACTTTTAACAGGATTCCGGTGAACCTAAGGACTCCCTAAAGGGACTACTGACAGATTATGGAAGGGCACTGAGAAAACAGTTTGATCTTGGTCTGGAGCCCTGCCCCTCAGTCCCACCAGAGCAGTGCTACTGTCACCT